CTGAATTTGGCATATCTAATGATCTAACTCGATCTTTGGTGGAGGCCTACAAACAAGATGCAGTTATGTCTGAGATAATCCGTAAGTTCAAGAGGAGGATAAGGTAACTTCTGACGAATTTACGATGGTAGATGGCTTGCTGTTTCTTGAAAAGGCAGGGAATAAAAGACTGTGTTCCCAGTAGCGAGTCTTTGCGTAGTTTATTTTTAGGGGAATGTCACGATGCAACTGGTCATTTCGGTTATAGGAAAACTTCAGCTAACTTAGTACAAAAGTTCTGGTGGCCTTCTATGATGGAAGATGCCAAGAAGTACGTCGAAACCTGTCAGGTCTGTCAACGTGACAAGCCTAGGACTCAGGCTCCGCTTGGGCTCATCAAGTCGTTGCCGATTCCTGAAGGTCCTGGTCAGAGTGTCTCCATGGACTTCATGGATACTCTTGTGACCAGCAGGTCTGGGAAAAGAGACATCTTCGTATAGTAGACCGCTTTTCTAAGTATGCAAGACTGATCGCCATGCCTGAGACTGCTAAAATCGATATGTCATCAGGTTGTTCATGGACAACTGGGTACGAGACTTTGGTTTACCTAAGTCTATCGTCAATGATAGGGATTACGAGCGAACTGTGGCAGAACACGGCCCAACAGATGGGAACCGGACTGCAAATGACATCAGGGAATCACCCTGAGTCAAATGGACAAGCGGAACAGATGAACAGAGTAGTGCAACATTTACTAAGACACTACATTAAGCCAAGCCAGGATGACTGGGACGAGAAACTACCTCTCGTCGCCACCCTGTACAACAACGCAGTACATAGTGCTACTGGCATGACCCCCAACCAACTGCATCTTGGTTGGAAGCCCCGTTCCGCCCTCGACTTCCTACTACCTGAAAAACAGATTACTGCAGCACCTGGTAGCATAGAATTTGCTCTCACATACGAACAGATGTTGCAGCAGACCGTTGAGCACATGAGGAAATCTCAGGATGCTATGATTGCATCTGAGAATAAACACAGACGACCTTCTAACTTTCAAGTAGGGGAAAAGGTCTGGGTAAAGTCATCTGAACTGGGACAGGAACTAGGAATATCTAGGAAACTAATGCCACAGTATTTCGGTCCCTGGGAGGTCCTGGGCATAGTGGGGGAACAGTTGGATGGACCTTCTTATGTGATTCGCGTCCCACCTCATCTACGGACACAGCCTGTTTTTCACGCATCCAAACTGGCACCTTTCGCAGAAACTGTACAGTTTCCTTCCAGACGATCAATGCTGCCCCCAACCATGGATGGCGAAGTGGACATCGACCAGATCATGGAGCATCGTCTGATGCCTGTTCATCGACCACCGGGCAGAGGCCGCCCTCCTAAGCCAAAAATGCAATACGGGGCCAGATTCAGACATCATCTGGACCCCAGCGAAGATCGGTGGTTCACTAGAGAAGAACTCATGAGAACTGCACCACAAGTCATTGCAGGCTACGAAAGAGATCTTAAAGGGAAGATGCCTGCAGAATAGAAAACTTCTCAGAGGACTATCGAAGTACAGGAGGAGGGAATGCGAGGATATGGGTCCTTGGCAGGCCTAAGGGCCCCCTGCAGCAAATGTGCCCGCCCTAAGTGAAGGCGGGCCAAACAAATTACGAGAGGCCCTTTGCTGTCAATTTCATATTTGGGGTCCAGGCAGTTTCGTCGCGCCAGTTGGTTGAAGGGAAACACAGGCCGAGCAGCGTGGAAATTCCCAGGCCTTCTAGGCCTTTCCGAAAGCACAGGCCTTGGGCGAGATTCGCAGCCTCATACACAGACAGTTGGGAGGCCCAACCGAATGAGGCCTAGTAGCTGCATCAGAGGCGCAGCATCCTGGGGCCTACCGGAAGCTTCTGGGCCCAGGCCAGGCCAGTCAGGCTGCCGAATGAGGCAGGCTCTTTCCATATAGGAAAGAGCTCGCTGCCTTCGGGCACTCGCATGCTGGCGGTAGCGCTGCTGGAGCTGAAGCTCGCGGGCTGCTGCTAGCGCTGAGAGGCGAGGTGCGAGCACGTGCGGTCGTGCAGGGAGCAGGGCGCTGCTGAGGGCAGCGCCATAGCCCAGCCTCCATAGCTGGTAGGGCTTGGATGTACAGTGAGGCGCAGGGGTGGTCTTTGGGTGTATACAGGGAAGATGTGGGAGAGAGTCAAGGGAGAGAGAGAGAAGGATGGTGATGATGATGATGATGTGAGGGCACATACCTGGTATTGGCGATGGTTCTGCATGAGCGAGTGGCTGCTGACGTCAACAGTTGCATTGTCAATTAGTGGGCTAGTAGTAGCTGTGTAGGGAGCAGGCTGGGCGCCGAGCGCCAAGTAGGGAGATAGGGACTGGATACATATGTTGGTGGTGGCGAGAGCAAGCTCTCATTGACATTGGCTTTCAGTGCTACTATTCTCTANGACATTGGCTTTCAGTGCTACTATTCTCTATTGGTGTCATATTGGTGCAATGCTACTCTCTGAACACTGTGATACGATCTGGCTATCAATGTGATTGTGCAATCTGAATATTGTCATCTCGCTTCTGTTCATATTCCTTGCACTTGTTAACGGGCACAACTTTAGCAATTACTGGTGGTTTAAGGATGACTCACATAGATCGGGAAATGGTCCAACTGAAACTAATGCCTGGGGGCGGTCAGCTTATTGATCATATTGTAAGGCAACATGAGAAGAAAAAGAAAAATTATAGTAATCTTTCAGGATGAACCTCAGGAAGGTTGCATTAGTGGGCACATTGGCGGGCCTCTTCCTGAAATTGCAGGCTGGAGGCCTGGCTGCCCTTGCTAAAACCACCAATACCTCCAAGCCTCTTTTTGCTGAAGCGGATTTCACCTGCACGTCAGGGAAAAAAAGGAAAAAAAAATTAAAAAATGCCATTGGGACAATTTCTTTTCCTTTTGGCTGGCGCCACCAGCCAGTTTGGCCAAGTAGCACTGTTCATCGGAAGGACCCGGATTGTTGCATTTTTTATTCTCAACTTTTGCTCGGGAAAGGTAGCGGTGGCTTGAACCCTTTTTTCTTTTTTTTGTAACTTCAATCAGAACTGAGGGTGGGATCTTCACAGTCTATCTGGAAGATACTGGGAGCACTACCCTGCTTAAGTGGGATGTTTGGAAATGTGAAGGTCAAAAGAGAGAATGGTCACGTAGCTAGCCCTTAACTTTCTTGAAGATAAATCCTGCCTGGTGGATGATGTTGCTCATTGTGGAGTGGGAGGAGAGGATTACATGATATATATGGTCCACAAAAACAGACCGTGGTGCTATAGATGTAGGCAGTATGGTCACCTGTGTACGCATCCTGGATGTCCGCTGGGATGCTTGAGAGGGACCCTTCTGAGGACAGTTGTTGGATGCTTGAGAGGGACCCTTCTGAGGACCAATTGTGGCTGCCAATGCGACAATCTAGTAGCCCTCTTTGTGCCAAATCAAGGCCGGCACGGTGTATTTGAAAGCAGAATGATGTGGTGACCTATACTCCCTCCGAAGTGAGTTGAAAAAAAAGCAAGATTAATGTGCAATTTGACGGATGCCTCCCGCATTATCATCTGCCGGTGAGACAATCCCTCCCTCTCTCCCCTCGCCTCCTCCTCTTCCTCCTCCTCCTCCTCTCTGTCCCTCCTCCCAAACTCCTCCTCCCGTAATGCTATGTTAATCTCCCCTGAATGTGGATGTCAACTTATATAGACGATAGTTCGAGATGGCTATTGTAAGCATATATGCAAGCGCACGCCATACAGAAAATTCCGCACGTTTGGCACACGAGCGGACCCGCATGGTGTGGCGCACGGGAGAAATATTCACTCAAAAAAAAAAGGGGTCCTATGCCTGGGTCAATGGTTATTTGCGTCCCCTTCAAAGATTTGTTGTGGGATGGAAAAAAAAAAAAAAAACAACTAATGCCGCTACCTAAAGGTCAAGAGTCAAGACTGATGTCCCAGACACCTATTTGAAGCTATTACTAATGTCCCATTTGGCGGAAAGAAAAATCTGTATGACTGTACTTGAAAAAGATCTGTTCCTTAGGTGGTGCACTCCTCTGTATCTAGAAAAAGAAAAGTCTGAAAAACAGCAAAAAAAAAAAGAAAAAGGGAAACTGCTGCTGGTATGGCACACAAGCAGGTGCCAGGCCGCACGCCGTACTGCGCACTGCACAGGATGGTGCACCGTGCGGTTGCAAGTATGATTGTAAGCGATCGATTGAGCTCTCAGTTAAAAGTTTAGTGGCATCTCAAGCTGTGTTGAAAGTGGTGGCTGTGGTTAATCCTTCGTATCAAGAAGTGATCAATGCTACCTGACGATGTAATCTTCTTGAAGTAGTTAGAGAAGATGTCTTTGGAGAGTCGTGGCTATGGGAGAAGAGTGGGTAAGTGTTGGTGATGTATTTGCTTTGTCCTACTAGTGGTGGTGAGCCGGGCTGCTGGCCCCCGATGGGAGAGGTCGAGTGTCAAAAAAAAAAGGTGCATAACGCCAAGTGGCTTTAAGGTACTACATACATGCAACTGTCGACAAACAGATCAAGAGTCTAAAATCCTTCTTTTTTTTTTTTTTTTTGAAGTCCAGGGTGTTGTAGAGTTCGGTTTCTGGACTCACAACAGGTACCTATCTACAGTCAGCAACTAATTTATGGGGCGCAGACCATCCTATCTTGGAGGATCCCCCTCAGACAGCCCCTACTGCAGGTTCCCTACAATAATGTCAGTGACTATCCCTTTTGTCAAAAGAAAAGGTTGTGGGATTATTCCCAATAACCCTGGCTGCAACGATGCATGCCAAGTGAACCACTCAGTATCTGAACCTGCAGAACCCCCTTCAGACATCCTTCCCTTTCTGTTTCTGACTCTTGCCTCTCTGACGAGTGCGCTGGGCTATTACTTATTAAAGTTTGACATTGGTTTTTGCACATGATCTGTTCGTTGTCCTTGTTTTGCATATTTTGGATGTTTCTTCAACCTTGTGTTGTGATCAGACTTGTGGTTCATGGGGCTTCAAGTTTTCCCGCAATCTTCTTGTGGTCAGTGTTGGGATTCTTCTTGGGCTGGCAGCCTCCTCAAGGAAAAGGCTGGGTGGCTATCATCGACTCGTCTCTCCTGTGTATGCAGCGGCCACTGAAGTCCAGGTAAGCTCTTTTCTGAAAAACATGATTTAACACTGAAGTTCATCAGGCTTCAAGCAACATGCTGATGTCTTACATGGTCTTTGAAAGATAAAGAAAAACAGGACTTTATGGGCCTGGTTCAATATTCATTATGGGAAACGTCAGTGCGGTTCGGTGCCATCCTCAAGTCAAACAATCCAAAGGACACCCCTCCGCAGTATTGATTGCTCCTTTTCGGGAGTTTTAGCTGCCTGATAGCCTTTTCCTTCTGGGATTTCTCTCTGTCTCAGTAATCCTGAGACTGCCAGACAGGCTTAAACCACCAGTACCTTTCCCAGCCAAAATGCTGAGGCTCGGCAGTTAACACGGAGGCCCGATGCGGCCTCCGCCGACGGCCACATACATCGGCTGCCCTTGGCGCGCAGGGCCCACGGCCGATGTACGGGAAAGGTACTGGCGGTTTAACTACTGAGAATCAAGGCTGGGCCGGCGACTGACCGGTTCAGCTTGGCCGGTCCAGCCAGCGCTGGACTGGCCCAGGGGTGGTGAACCGGGAAACCGCTTTTTTTTTAAATGGCATAAATGCCCATTTTTTATTTCTTTTTTTGGGGGGGCGGGACTTCGACTCTGCTCTTCGAGATCTGTCAGAATCCGCAATAAAATTTTGAAGGTACGATTTTTTTGGTGGGGGTTCCCAGGGGAAGGCAATATGGCTTTCAGGTGGAGGGGTCAAGTAAACAAGGTTACTTATTGGATCCCCCCGTGGCACAAAACTTTCAATTCAGCACCATAGGGTAGCGTGGATTATGCCATTAGATATTGACACCCGAGAGACTGAACGAGATATGTTGAGAGAATGTCCTTGCCAAATCTTATAACTCTTCCAGAGTATAGCTCGGCAACAAAAAAGTTATGGGTCGTGCAGGCAGAGCGTTTTCTGTTTGTTTTTCTCTACATTTGGGTCATCAGTCCAAAAGTATCTTGCCTGGCAGCTGTCCAGAAACATGTAGTAGAACGAGGTCCATTCTTGGGCTTGCACTTCAGACAGCATGATTACTCTGGCTTCACGAGCCGAAACCCAAAGCGATAACTTTTACCCCAGAGCGTAGGAATGTCGCAGAAGCGTATAAGCTCAGCAAAGCCACTACATCAGCATATTGCTTTCCTCCTGGTTCAGGGTGGACATGCATCCGGACCTGCCAATTACATCTGGTCCGTGGTCCATTGGACCACACGATGCCCAATTGAAAACGGGGCCTGTTGGACCCCGCATCTTGAAAAGACCGCATGGCAGTGAAGATCAGCAGCGGAGATCCTCCGCCCGTTCTTTTCAATAAGAAGGGTCCAGAAGGCCCTGTTTTTATTTTATTTTATTTTAATTAAGGAGGCAGTGGTCTCCCGAGGGCTGGGCAATCGCGGGCATGCCTGTGACTCCCCAGTACCCCCCACATGATGCGCTGGGTTCGACCGGGGGCCTGGAAGGCCGGTCGACCGGCCGGTTCGATCATCAGGGTCCCGGTCGGGGGAGCGGCCCCCGCTCCAACCAGGGACCAGCCCTGCTGAGAATCTCATAATAGGGAGGCTACATCTTAAGGTGCGACTTGGCTGCATTCCTTGAAATTTCTACAACAGACGTGCTTGTGATTTGAAGAATCCAAAGTGATCGCTGTTTGCCCAGAATTCTTGGGCAAATTGCCTCCCACTGGCTCACAGTCAGACACACACAACCGGTCACATTCCGCATGTATGCAGAGCAGCATACCATTTTGAATGTGGAAACCAGGTTGGCAACCAGACCGGCCAGCAACTACCTGAAGATAGGCCTAAAAGCCGGGTTCTTAGGGGTTGCTCCACTATGGACTTGCGAAGACTGGAAACTTATCCAAAGACTTGACTACAAAGTTCACATACTCAAGGTGATGAGATAGAGCATCAGCAATGTGATTGCAACAATCTTTCTTGTGCTCAACTAAAAGTGATACACATCGATTTCTTGGTACCATCAAGTTGGCATAGTGTTGAGTTTGGGTTGGGTCTTTATCCACTGCGCAGTCTGATGATCTGAATAGACTTTGAAGTGGCGGCCAAGGAGGTAATGCCTCCAATACTCCAAGGCTTCCCAAAGCACTAGCCTATTGGTTAAGCCTATCGGACCTCAGTTGGTCCCCCGATTCGCGGGAAAGTCCCTACGGGGTACCAGCCAAATTGTACTTACGTCCCTGTCCGTCCTGGCCTTTCTAGAAGTCCATCTGGTGTCCAATTTCAGTCCTATCCCTGTGGTTCCCTACTTCCAAACTACCCCTTTCCTGTATGCAGAAAACATAGGGTGAGAACACTGTTAGTACTCTGCGTAGCAATCAATCATCATATAGGGACTTAGACACATGCAAGCAAACAGCAATCTTACTCCGAACACAGAAGTCTCAGCTAATCAAACCATCAAGCAGCAATGCTCAGAAAACTGCATAAACCTCAGACTGATTCTGTGTGGATCATTGCACAGGTAAGGAATAGTCCTTTTTTTTTTTTTTTTTTTTCAGGTAAGGAATATGAAACGGTTTTCACCTTTTAGCAGTAGCGGATGCAGTACCCAGGGTTCGATCCCTAGACCTCACCCTACCCATGTACAGTATCTGTGTAGACCCGGAGAATTGAACCTGTGACCTGTGTATTCGTAGGCAGTTGGTAGACCTGTCGTAGGTCCATAGACAGCAGGGGTTCGATCTGTAGGTCTATAGCGTATGAGTCTTAGTGAGTTCTGGAAGCTTAGMTGTAGACCTTCTAGAAGGTAGGCAAGTGGGCAAGTGGTCAAGTGSTCAAGTGGTGAGGCAAGTGGTGGACTAAACCGCAGTGCAACAGCAGTGCAACAGCGGTAGGATAGCGGGGAGTCCACAGTCAGTCAACGGAAGGTCCRGTCAGTCCCAGTCYGGTCCAGCAAGTACCACAGGGGGACTGTAAGCACCAAGGGCCGATGGCAAAGGGCAGACCAACGAGTTTCTGAAGTATAAATCAAGAGGCAGCGCCCAGCCATTCATTCATTCCTGCGTGAGTCATGCGGAAGCGCTGCCACAGCGACTTGTGCMAGGAGGTCTGCAGATGAGCCCGGAGGACGCAGTGGGC